ATTCTTCTAGGACCAACATAGTCAATTATGAATGATAGTTGAAGGTGGAATCCAAGAACAAGGCCATATGTTTCTCCCCTCCACCGGGATATATTTTGCTTCCAAGATTGATTGGAGATCTTGGGAAACAATAGTTACATCCAGAAGTTTTAAAATAAGGAGATAAAGAATTTATAGGTTGTTTGGAACCAGAAAAGTATACATTTTGTTGTTCCAAAATAATATACTGTAGCTATACAAAATAATGGTTGAGACAAGGCTGTAGCAACCACAATGTTAAAATTTTTATGTTTTCTTGATATATTCAGGCAGTCAGCAAGAGTTTACAGTGCTCGAATGAAAGCACATTAATGGCCAGAGATTTACATATAAATGCATGATGTCACCTATTCAGCAACATCATTTACTGGGATTTTGAAGACAGAATTATGGATGCAGCTACATCTACAGTCAATAAGTATGCACATCCATGTTATACTTTATTTTGCAATATGTTAGCATATATTTATGGATTGCTGAAACACGAACAAGAAATTTGATGAACGGTGGTGGGAATTGTTTGCAAGTAGTGCTTAGCTAAACTTCTTTGCAAAATAAAACTCAGAACAGTGTTGAAGTTGATGGAGGAATGTGCAGACAGGAACCCAAGGGACAGAATGAAGTTTGCATTATTTGGGAGTTTCCGAAAAAAAGAAAGAAAAAAGGAAAATGTTTTAATAAAAATGGGGTGGGAAATGAAGCAGGTTTTATCGTTGCTATTGCTGTTACAGGATGTGATGATTTCATTAAACATTTAAAGAGCAGATCATGCAGATATGAAGTGCAATTGTAGGAAACCAAAGTGATAATAAGTTCATGGGAAGTGAGTTATTTTAACTGATTTTGCAAGATTAAATAAAACCGCATAGGATTTAGACATAGTCCTTCAGAAATACTTAACTGAATGTTAATCTGTTTCCGAAATGTTCCTGATCTACTTTTCCAAATTTTGATTGTCATTGGGACACTTAAAAATTAAACATTTATTTCCTCTACTACATTCTCACTAATTAAATTACCAGTCATTTTATGCATTCAATTCTGCAACTCTCTTCCTCAGTTCAATATTATTTCAACCTAAATTTCTCCTCAAATCTTTCACTTGTACTTCTTTAAACAGTTTCAAATTCTTATTTACTTTATTCTGTCCACATATTTCCTCCAAACTTCAACTTTAATCTTCTATATAATCATTTTTAAACAGAACAGCTTAAAATGTGTAGTACATAGACCAAAGCATACCAGCTATGTATTCTACTGTCTGCTAAAAAAAAAAATCTTCAAGACTTCAATTTCATTTCATTCAGTTGTTTCCTGTATTAAAGCTACTAATACAATAATAAACATACCACATCTTGATTATACATATCTTGTACTACCAAATCTGTTTAGTCTTTCTTAGAATAGTTTAGTTTGATGTAAATGATTAAGGCATTGGCCTAAAACTGGGAAACTTTTGAGTACTTGTCCAGCTTTGGGTATGAAAGCCGGGTGGGTAACTTTGGGCCAGTCACTTTCTCTCAGCCCAACCCGTCTCACAGGATTGTTATTGTGGGGGAAATAGGAGGAGAAAGGAGTATTATGTTCACCACCTTGAGTTACTTGTAAATAATAAAGATGGGATAAAAGTTAATAAATATGTAAACAGAATTATTGAAATAGCTAGAAATATCTGGACACATTAATTTCAGAGGGTCCTTTTTATATACAATTAATTTTGTATTCAATCCACTCTGATTTTATCCCCCTCTGCTTCTACAGTATTGATGCTTATGAGAGATCTTATTAAGCATTTATCTACCAGGCCCAAAGTGGTATAATAACAAGTACAGTCCATGCAATTTAGCCCTGCAATTATCTTGTATATTTGTGACTTAAATCTAGTTTGCGATGACTTCAAAGAGAAAAGACCCATGATACATTATTCCTCAAGTTGTCAAAGCAAGAAATAAATGAAGCATCTTATTAAAGCTCAGAATATATTCCTTTTTTAGTTGGACTTTGGTATGGCTGAAAAAAACATGAGTGGCATACATCATGGGCGAAAACTGCAGGAGTAAATCAATGATTAGATACAGCTTTATTTATGAGAATTTATACAAAGCTAGACTCGGGCGTGGTGGCTCAGTGGCTAAGACGCTCAGCTTGTCGATTGAAAGGTAGGCAGTTCAATGGTTTGAATCCCTAGTGTCGTGTAACGGGGTGAGCTCCTATTACTTGTCCCAGCTTCTGCCAACCTAGCAGTTCAAAAGCATGTAAAAAATGCAAGTAGAAAAATAGGGACCACCTCTGGTGGGAAGGTAACAGTGTTCCGTGCACCTTTGGCATTTAGTTGTGCCGGCCACATGACCATGGAGACGTCTTCGGACAGTGCTGGCTCTTTGGCTCTGAAACGGAGATGAGCACCGCCCCCTACAGTAGGGAACAACTAGCACATATGTGCAAGGGAACCTTTACCTTTACCTTTAGACTTTGTTAGGGCAATTTACAACACACTAACATAACACAAAATCTTAACACAATTACAATTTACAGTCAAATGCAGTTGTTAAAACACACAATAGTAGAAGAAACAACTCAGATAAAAGCTTTCTTGGAAACAGTATTCCTTATCCTTGCAGACAAAGCAAAATAAGGAATCTCATCAGGAAATGGCGCTGGGCTTATCTGGATGAAAGGCTAACTAAATAATTAATTTCTGTATTAAGAGATTTATACAGGCCCTCACTAGAACTAAGTTTCATCTTCCATTTCTAGCTCAAAACTCAAAATTCATACTGTATGCTAACAATGCTGTTTTCTATCTGCATTCCATCTGGGGCTATAATGAAACTCCCACACTGAGAAGTGGGGGGTAGGGGGGGAAAAAAGCACATTCTTTTGTTTGGTATAAGATGGAATTGAGAGAAACTTTCAAAATTCTTTTATTCTATCCTACGGCAACAAAGAGAATCCCTGCTGTACCTGTTCCTTGACCTTGTTTATCTCAAACGATAAGAAGCCTTTTTATCTGGTCGAATTACGGATGATAGTACAAAGATTTCAGCATTTAAAATGGAGACTTGGTATTGAGGACATAGAAATTAATGACAACATTTTAAAGATAACAAGCAATTAAAGAAAAAAATACACACACATTTGTGTAAGCATTTGTATGAATATGCTGTAAACGTCAATACCATGACAAAGGCATTCAAACAATGATACAGGAAATATATACAAAATCTGCTGGAATAGTGAGATTTAAGAGATTTGCAAAAGAAAAGGAATAATTGGAGTGTTATTATCAGGTATGCCAAGGTACATAATATCTAATCAAAACAAAATTTAAGTATGGAAATACAATATCACTCAACTATACTCATTAAGCCTTTGATTCAGATCCTGTGAAGAAAGAAAGCAAAACGGGGCAAAACCTCTTTTATGCAATGTTGGGATATAGCTGGTTGTGAGCATCTGGAAAAAAAAAAACCATCTAGGGATTTTAGCAGGTACCATAACAGAAGATTAGACAGAAAGCAAATAAAGAAAGATTTATGTCTCATCTGCAGGCTTAGCTTTCCATATTTCATATACTGCATGGCATTAATAGCAGCATTACGCCAGTTTGGTGTAGTGATTAAGGCATCAGGGTAGAAATCAGGAGAGTGAGTTTTAAATCCATTTTAAACACGAAGCTAGTTGGGTGACCTTGGGCCAGTCACTCTCTCTCAGCCCTAGGAAGAAAAAAAATGGCAAACCACTTCTCAAATCTTGCAAAAAAACAAAAACAAAAAACAAAAACAAAATCCAATTTCTTCAGACAGTTTCCAGGAATCAACAGACTTGAAGGCACCAAAATAGTAGTAATGATAAACTGTATAAATTGATTGGGCAACCAACAAAAATAATAAGTGTTACAAAAACCAGGTTTTCAAATCTTATAGCAGAAAAGAAACCCCATCCAAATCTACAACCACTTTAGGAAGCAGAATATAATTACGTAAGAGACCAGATTCAGCCTTTGGCCTGCAGAAAGTTCTACGCAACAGCAATTTCAAAAATTATAGAGGAATGCTAATCAGAAAGTAATAGAAATTACAGGCCATTCCCTTGCTCTGTTGAACAGTTGGCAGCTGATCAGCAAAGAGACTTTCATCAGTGTAAATGCAAAAATTAAAATTAAGACACCTGAGTAAAATGAATTAGGACCAAAAGTAATTGCAAATTATCCAGTGCTGTGAGCACTGTTAGATACAAAACCAATACAATGCAGGTAGTCTTTGACTAGTTCATTTAATGACTGTTCAAATTTACAACCACACTGAAAAAAGTAACTTATGACTGATTTTCACACTTACAAGTGTTCCAGCATCCCTATGATCATGGGATCAAAATTCAGATGCTTGGCAACTGTCTCATATTTATGATGGTTGCAGTGTCCCGGGGTCATGTGATCACCTTTTGTGACCTTCTGACAAGCAAGTCAATGGGGAAGCCAGATTCACTTAACAAGCATTACTAACTTAACAACTGCACTGATTCACTTAACAACTGTGGCAAGAAAGGTTGTAAAATGGTGCAAAATTCACTTTGCAACTGTCTCAGCAACAGAAAACTTAAGGGCTCAACTGTGGTTGTAAGTCAAGGAGAACCTGAACTAAGTACCAGTAGCAAACAGTATAGATGTACCAAAATATAGCAATCTGAGACTAGACAAAACTGGAAGACAGAAGCTGGGTGGTATCTAAATGTAATAAAATAAATAGAAATCGTGGCAAAACCTCTGCAAAGTAAATGTATATTTCTCAAAGTCTGATGATTTCTTTGCATGTGAATTACAAGTGAGACCGCTTGAGGCTAATATTTTTAGCAAATATCAGCAAATTTCTTTGGGAAAAAATGAAGGTGTTTATGAAGTGAAGAAAGTTATGAGGTTATAAGAAGAAACAAAAAGAAAAGCATCAGCAGCAAAGACCCAGTACAATTTCATAGACTGTGCTTTTTATTGTTTCAAATAAAGCACTGTGAAAATAGCTTTTTTCTTCTGCTTTGTTAATACAAATGTTAATTAAAATGTTCAAAAGTTTATAGCTGAAGCTTTTAAAAATATACAGAATTCACTCTTTCAAATAGTTTAATACACATTTTACATCCAAATTCTCAGCGAGGCTCCAACCTTAAGACATTAGTTGTATTGGAAAATTACAAAAGCTCAATTTACCATGGAAAAAATGGCTACATGTTAATAAAAGCTCTAAAATTGAATTTTGTTTTCTGGAAAGCATCACTTCCATACCGATACTCTTCTTCTAGTAGAAGTGGCTCTGGGATTCTCAACTGGAGAACATGTTACTCAGTAAGTAAATCCTGTAAAAGGTGCAACATCTTTCAAAATAATATGCTTATATTTGCATGCACTTATATCCCATTTTTATGAAGTAGCTTCATCATGACTGTGACCACTAGCCATTAGTAACTAGAATTAGTTACTAGCAGAACTTTTGAAAATATTAATAGAATTACAGCAGATGCCAGTATATAGATAGTGTTTATAAATAGATCAAAAATCTATATTCCTTATATTATCTCATTAATTGTAAGTCTGGTTTCTTATCTACCATGCAAGTGGATTTACACTGGAGAGGCCCAGCTGAGTCTGTGTGGTAGTAGTGTGTTGCCAAACGTGCCAAGATGATGACCGGAGTTTTGTGATCCAAATCCCACCCTTTTTAAATAGTGGTGCAATACTGATGCACCTACCTTAGAGATATGGATGCTCAGACAAAAGGGACAAGGATACAGTTGCCACTGTAGATGCCTTTCCATGTTTATTCCTTTATATTCTTTTTATTTTTAAAGGATACTGGATTTTTTTTTCAAGGACATTCTGTAAGATTCTTTTTATACAAGTAACAACTACCTGTCGAGAAAGATGGCTTACCTTTCCAAGCTTCCATTTTTATTATTGGATATTCATGTTAACTTTAGTTATACAAGTTTATTTATTTATTTATATTAACTTTAGTTATACAAGTTTATTTAGTTATACAAGGAATTCTGAATGTTGATAAATGAAAGATATATTATCTGACACCACTGAAATCTTGATAAGTATTAAGTTCCCTGTTTATGTGGGCATCAGCTTTAAAACGTATACTTAATGTTGCAAGACATATATAAGATTATATCACAGATATAATTTTGATCCATTTACCAATTAAAACCTTACATTATAAGATAATGCCAGTTAAAAAATGTCATGTAGATTTCTCATAATCTCTCCCCCTCCTCCCAATTTGTCTGTCTGACAATATTATCATTTCAGATTTGTCCACTTCAGAAGACATTTTAAAAGGTTTGTAGAATTAAGGAAATGGGATTGATTCTGGAAGGGGAATTTCTCACACTCATTTCAAGTGCATTCATTTGACAACTTGTGCCCTGTTGGGTCATTTCCTTATTTAAACAGAAAACAGAGTGTTCATGAGTGAGCAGTGGAAGCAAGAGCAACTTCTGACTTAGGTTGGGAAGTGTGCCTGGAGGTGCAGAAGAGTTATAGTCCTGTACAGCTTGGTAGAATTATGGAGGTGATGGTCAAGAATGCATGGGAGTCTCATGGATGCATACGAGGTGCCATGCTGGTTGAGGATGGCATGTGGGATGGTGGTTTGAGTTAGAAAGTGTGCCCGGGAGTGCTCGAGAGTGTGCAAGAGGTGCCTGGGAGTGCTCAAGTGTGCAAGGATGTTGGGGAGTGTGCAAGTCAGGGATGGTACACAGGATAGTGGTGCTTTGGGTCAGGAAGGGTGTGGGTGTCACACAGGTGCCACATGGTCAGGGTGCTGGTTGGGGAGAATGCATGGGCTGGTGTCCCCTGGAAGTGGAGAGAAGTGCCCCCAAAGCTGTTGAACACAACTTCTTCATCATATACAAAAATAAATAAATAATAAAAATCCACAAAAGTAGTTATTCTATTATAATTTGTCTTAAGAGAAGTCATCCTGCTGACTCACTCAGATCAGCTTTTGAAACACAGCATTTCTGAAACCCCTTTGAGGACAACTCCCATGATTGCTGTTTATACAACTCTGGAATAAACGTCTATTAACATAAAGCAGAAAAATAATTAATACAATCAAGATTAACGTCTCCTGAATATAAAACCCTAAAGGCTTGTTGCTTAACACCTACAATTCATTAACCTCTGCTCTGTACTCCATGAAAGTGTTCTCCAATGGGTATAACAGTCCTCAAAACAAGTTAGAATCAAAATGATTTGCTTTTCTCAGTCTTTTATTATTGTCTCTATTGTACATCACAGCATTTTTTCAATTTATATTTCTGCAAAATGAATACAGCTGCCTTTCTAAATGTCCTATCTTAAATAAACCCTGAGTACTTTTAAAGCACATTTAAAAATGTAATTCATATTTTGCAACAAAGAATCTACTAACGAGAAACGGTTACACATTTATGGGGAAAATTGTTTTCAAAAATCATAATACCCACTGCCTTTTTAATAGTGCACCAGGAACTTGTTTGAAACGTAACACACAGTAACAGTCTATATAATTAGAAAATGTGAAAAGAAGCTTGATCTCATCTATTTCAATTGTTCAGCAAATAATTCTGTTTAGCTTGGTGCGGAAGACTTCAGGATTTTAAGTCTGTGCATATATATTTTGTCAATGTTCAAATTTCAACCAATATACCAAAGATGAAAGTAGTATGATCAAAATGATAAAGTGCAATTCACAATAACAGTGCATTAATCTAATACAAAAAATATCTGGAATAATTTGTTTACTCCAAGAAACCTACTTCAGGAAAAAGTTGTTTGCTAAGAACAGTCAAGTAGAAAAAGAAAGTCGCAAGAAAAGGTCTGAGAACATGTATAAGGAACATCAGCTGTTGAGTGGATCCAAACAGCCTGTGAAGTTTTCTTTAGCTATTTCTTCAACCAACATGTAGTAGCAAATCTGTTTTCATTTTCTTTGGCAGAAAATGAGTTAAGTTTTAGATGGAAAAGGTCGATTTGACAAGGAGTATTTATGCAAGTTATCCAGTTTTTCCCCACCTTTTTTATTTTCTGAGATCGGGCAACATACAGAAAGACAGGTGAATTAATTTTTTTAATAGGAAGTGAGGTTTCCAATAATTAACCGGTGCCATAGCTGCTGTAGTCAAATACACCTTTCTTAAAGAATGAAGAGAATTCACAAATGTCATGTTTGGACAGGATCAAGCCCTCTTTATTTACATATAGTGGAGATGATGGAGAATTAAGCATCGCATCAAAGAAGTCTCTGAGGTATTTCTGGAAAAGAAAAGTAAACCAGGACAACAGTTACATTAATGTTACATAATTAACAGTACATACAACATTATTTTTATTTGCAACACTAGAAAATAGACAGAAATATGACACCTTTACATGTGAATTGGCTGCAAAATTTAGACAACTTAAGACTTAAAACTAGTATGCAGTGAGCCTTTGATGAAGTCTACAAGCTTTTTTTCTTCAAAAATGCAGAACAAGATCTCTTTCTGCTCCTGAAAGTAAGTGAAAACTGAAATGCAGTTTGTGATAGGAAGTGAATTCTTATATCTATGGGGTCAATGATTCAAAGAAACAAAATTGGTGTGGCCTCTGATTTTGTCTAAAAAGCAGAGTTATATAACACCTTGGATTCAATCTCTCAAGAGCGCTTGGGCGTGTGCAGGAGCATGGATGCAATTGTTGTGTGATCTCAGAAAGATACATATGAAGATGTCATGGATTGGAATGGGACAACGTGCCATGACAGACGTGCCCCTGCCGACTTGCCGTATGACAACTTGCTGCGGCTGACTTGCCACAGGACAACTCACTGGGGGACAATTCAATGCAAGATAACTAAAGAACTGTAACTCCCCAGCATTGAGGACTTCTAACTTGAGAAAATTTAAACCTAAAGCAAGGCCCTCATTCACTTGTCCCTCTCTTAAGTTATCCTGCATTGAATTGTGCTGCAGTGAATTGGCTGGAATGAGTTGGCCACAGTGAGTTGTCCAGGACCTAGATCTGCCACAGATAAATAGTATAAAGATATTCTCTGCACTCGGAAGCACTTTTTGGAGATGGATTCTGAAGCACTGCACAGTCCTACCTAATAGTGTCTGAATATCATTACATGTCAGCATATGCTAGAACATCTTGGCAAATAAGGGGCAAATTATATATAATGTGAAGAGTTTACAATAAAGGTCAACTATTGTTGAAAAAATTAGGCTGTCATAGCCCTTGTTGGTCTTCCAGAAGCTATGAACAATTTCTAGAGGGCATTTGGGGAGAGAGTGGACACCACTGTGCTGATGGCATTACTGGATCTTTGACTGATTAATTATTTTGATTTTATGCTTTTCATTAAGTTTCATTGTTTTATGTTGTAAGCTGCCAAGAGTTGTTTTGAGACCCTGGGGTGGGTGGGTGGGAAGGGCTAATAAAAATGAAATGAAATGAAATACAAAAAAGAACAACCCGACAAGAACCTATGGGAACATATAAAGTGTATCAGCTGTGTTATGATAGCTATTATGTCTTCACTAATAGGAAACAAGAGCAGTGTTGGTCAAATTATTTGGAAAAATTGTGTAGGGAAAAATTGATGCTTCTGCCTTCCATTATCGTGCTCTTTTTGTTCTACCCTGCAGGATTTTTAAGAAACCATAAAACAATTAAAAAAAAAAAAGCATGGTAGATCACAATTCATAACCTACAAAGATAAATTATCTATTGTAGTAAAAATATATAATTCTTCTTGATTTGTTTTCTGAAAGTCATCTGAACTTCAATAGAGCATGAATTTAACTAACTTAAGTTTTATATGGAATGTTTTCCAATATTTTGTAGGTGACTAAAACAAAAATTATGTATTTTCATCCAACAAATTTAACTATCAACACAGAAATACAGTTTCATGTTTGGAATGGTAAATTACATGTTTTTTTAAAAAAAGATTATTCCTATCGAATGATCTATAGAGGTACACATATAATCTAAATTAATTTAGATTGCTAGTAGAGGTTTATTTGTTAAATTGGTTACAATGTCACATATATGCATATATATTTTTTGTCAGGTTCGCCTGATTCGCCAATTGCGCCCCTTTCTTGATCGGGATTCTGTGTGCACAGTCACTCATGCCCTCGTCACCTCTCGCCTGGACTACTGCAACGCTCTCTACATGAGGCTCCCCTTGAGGAGCACCCGGAGGCTCCAACTGGTCCAGAATGCGGCCGCGCGGGTAATTACAGGAGCTACAAGGCGCTCCCGCATAACACCGCTCCTGTGCGAGCTGCACTGGCTCCCAGTGGTCTTCCGGGTGCGCTTCAAGGTGTTGGTTACCACCTTTAAAGCGCTCCATGGCATAGGACCTAGTTATCTCCGCCTTCTGCCACCGACGACCTCCCATCGACCCGTGCGCTCCCACAGAGAGGGCCTCCTCGGGGTGCCATCAGCCAAGCAATGCAGGCTGGTGGTCCCCAGGGGGAGGGCCTTCTCTGTGGGGCACCTACCCTCTGGAATCAGCTGCCCCCAGAGATAAGGAGAATCCAAGACCTCTGTGCCTTCCGCCGTTCCCTTAAAACTTTCCTTTTCCAACAAGCCAGGCTGGCCTAACAATGCCTTTTAAATGATTTTAAATTTGTATGTTTCTTAAATTTTTGGTCAAATTGAGATATTTCCTTTTAATTTGTTCTTAATGTTTATATTATGTGTTTTTATCTGGCTGTACACTGCCCTGAGTTCCCAGGAAGAAGGGCGGTATATAAATTCGAAGTAAAATAAAATAAATAAAAATAAATATACAGACATACACAATTAGAATTTTGTTAAAATATGATATAGATCTAAATAGCTTAATTATATTATTTCTAGTGTATACAGATTTAATGCTGAGGAATAAGAATATATGAATGAGTATAATGCTGCTGCCAAATATCTCTAAAATTATAAACCAAAAAATGATGTTCAGAGGCATACTTTAGAAAAGTATTTAATATGCTTCTTCATTTCCACTTAGGGCCAAAATTAATTTTTTTCTGTGGCATATCCAAACATATGTACATGTTTTGAAAAAGCATTTTAAGTATTTCAAACCTTAATGATTCATTAGTTTTCTCAATATGTTTAAATAATAAATGCTGCATTTGTTAAATATTAAATAATATTAAATAGTACTTGCATAAGTTTGAAAACTTACGTTTGATCTAGATAATTACCTCTCAATAACATCACATGCTACTGCAACCAAACCAAAACCTAAGGCTTTATGATCATAAAGAAATATGAATCTATAGAAGTATTACACATTTAAAAGTTGCATTTAAAGGAATCCTTCAATTACTAGGAAATTTCCTTGTAGTTTATTCATGGCAATTGGCAGGATAACTTCTGCCAAAATTAGTAAGGATTTTTATTCCACTTGTAGCACTTAGAGAAACTGCCTTTTAAACATATTCAATTATTTGTAGAACTTAATAATTTTATTTGTATACTATTGTCTAAGGTAAGCATAATTTACTTTTAAGATGCTAGTGTTATTTTGGATGGAGGAAGAGAATATTTTATAATTGTTAAAGTATTTTTTAGCAGAGCTGTATCAAATGGAATCTTTTCTTATTTTGAATCTTTAAATTAATTATATAGCAAGCTTATTCTCATATAAAATATGTCTGTGGTACTGGTAAATAAGGTAGTCTTGGAGTTGTTAGGAATTTCTGGGTTCTTTATGGCACATCACATTTACTTCTTTTTTGCCATACCTATATCAACTGTAAGAAAACTGCAATTTAAAAGTTTCGAACACTATAGTTTCCAAGATACTGGAAAATGAACCAGAGTTTCTAAAAAAAATTCCAAGATCCACAGCAGATGCATATCAGAACTTTTCCTGAATGTCTCATATTTATAGACTGTCAGAAATGGTTTTTTTTTATCACAATAAAAACCCATATGATACTCTTTCTTGCTGTCTATGCTGTATGTAGCTTTATGCATTACAGATTTTTTTATTTTTGTTTTTATTGCTTTTATTTTAATATCTTAAGGCAGGCTTGCACATCATCCTTGTGATACATATACAAATTGTAAATGTAAGAGTCAAATCACACATCTTACAATTGGATGGTGCTACATCCACACCCCCAAAGAAGTTGTACAGAAGCACCTTGTGCATCACTGAATGCTTATTATAGCTTCTGTACCTATCTTATATAATAAGAAGCCAATTAAGAAAAATAACCACCCATGTCCCCACTGGAAAGGTTAATTTTAACTGGATAACAAATAGGAAAGTTAGGACAACAAGAAACAATTGATACATTGACCCAGAAAGTTTTTGTCAAAACTCTTAGTAAAAACATTATGATATCTAAGTGCGATTAATGAAAGTATTGGGTACTGTCCAAATGCATGATACAATGAAACATTCTTTTGGTACTAAAAGATTTATAACACAATCAAATTAAAAGTTTTATTATGGCCCTTAGACCAGAGAATACTACAATAAAAATACATAAAACTGTAATTATTATATTATGATACAATTAAAAACCCCAATTTCTTGGAATTTGCTTAATGTCTCCTATGATAATACAAATTATAAACTATTTTCATTGTCCTCCAAAGATTTTATTTTCAGCAAGCTTTAAGTATAGATATTTTGCATTTATTGTGATTACCGTAATCTGTATATACATTGACCAAAGTTAAGATTAGAGACATACATTTAGGTCAGATCTGAGTCTAATTACTAAATTTTATTTCATGGAAGAGAAATCATGGGAACCTCAGACTTTTGATTGTTCTTCATTTGAGCCAAAAGTTCATGTTGCCACTTAAACAATAACTAAAAACAAAAATAAAACAGCTATCTGAAATGTTTGTTGGGCTGCAAAAGAAAATGAATAGAACTGGGATAAAGCCATTGTCCATAACTAAATTGCTAAGAGTTTACTGTTCTCAAGCTACAATAGCAAAAACATTATATTATTAATGTTTTCTGCATCATTTATTACCAAGAGTTTTCCAATGAAAATCTGTTGGTATGAACATTATACTGAATGTCATCCATCAAATTAAGTGTCCCAGCTAGTTAAGTTCAACCTGCAATAATTATTTGCAATAATGCTTCCTATTATATCTTAATACATGAAATCTATTTGGAATCCATAGAATGTAATAATCTTTCTAATGTTTACACATTAAAAATAAGATTATTTGCTACCAACAGAGAGAAAAATCCCTTACTCTTTCACCTGTTCTAGAGAGTAAAA